CCTCATGGATATATATGTTTTAATTTGAATATAATTAATATTGTACTATTAGATAATGTGGCATCGAACGAGAGTGAGAAAAAGACAACGGATAGAGCGCGAGTTGCATGAACCAATAGCTCAAAACAATACCAAAGAATGAGCTTCTTGGATGGACACCACGACTTAATTTATTCAGGATAGAAAACCCACGTGCACATAAATAGAACTTAAACACCTTTTATTATTCATCTTCCCTTTTACAAGGCAACAACCATTATATATACTAACTTGTAAGCTACTTAAATGGTCATAGCTCTCATGATAACATAAAAAACCAAACTATTTAATTATATGCAGCTAATATAAGAGCTGAAGTTTATTAGTAACTAAATAGAGCAACAACACTGACATCATCATGTTTTCTTATAATACGATCCATATATAGATCAATATTAAATTGAATTGTTTGATTTATTTTGATATCAATGTAAATAGTACAATATGATTAAGCATCATATAGTACGATAAGTTATACTTTTTCATAATTGATTAATCCATTGATTAAATTAATTCTTAATTATTATGTGCATTAATATGTGCAAGTCAACCTTAGCTTCATAAAAAAAAATGTAATATCAATTTTAATGTGTATATTTACTAGCTTTGCTACGGTTTCACCCTAGCTTCCTTATCTCTTCGGTGTAGATCTCCTTGGCCTCGTCCATTCTGGTTCTGTCAGTTCGTGAAAGTTAATGAAGCACGATTGTGGAATCATGGATTCCTCAAAAGTAAAGTGAACTCTAGATCGTTTGTTTATGCTCTATTGGGATTTTCTTCGGTTTGTCATCACTTTACTGAATCTTAGCTTCGGTTTGTCATCACTTTTCTGAATCTTAGATCTACAACTTTATGTGGTTTTCCATCGCTTTGGATTTCTCAGGATGAGATTTTAGCTCTTGCAGCCCCATTTGAGTTTTCTTTGTTTGGAAAATTTCCTAGTCGTCGTCCCTTTCTAGATCTGAATCAGAAGTTCTTCTTTAACTTAAAACTTATGGCTAAATATTTGGTTACTCTTTCGGATCCTCAACATGTGTTAATAAAACTCTCAAATGATATGGATTATTGTAGGATTTTTGCTTATAGGTCTTATTTTGTTAACAAATGCTTCATGAAATTGATAAAATGGTTACCTAACTTTGATATATCTGAGGAATCTCCAATCATACCCATTTGGGGTTATTTTCCTAATATTCAACCTCATTTATTTTTTCACCATATTTTCCATGGACTAGGTTTGTTATTTGGTCATCCCTTGCCGCCCCTCTATGGCTTTTTTTATTTGAATTAGATATCTCAAAACGATATCTTGATAACTTGTGGATTGGCCCTAAAAATTTTGGGTATATTCAAAAAGAACTGTTGATTAACACTAAAATTGTGACTAATAATGATAAGGAAAACTTTTGTTTATATCCCCTGGCTGATGTTCCTCCCCCGGTTTCTTCTCCAGTTCATATTAATATTGTGGATGATGCTAACATTATGGTTATTTCTCTCCTGTTGGTTCCTGCTGTTAATATTGTTGTTGGACCCTTTGTTGTTTGGATGTTTAAAATTTGAATCCTATAATCAATATTCCATATTATCCTTTATCTAATGAGGCTTTATTGGCTTTGAATTTGGGGAATCAAAAGGAGTATGATAAACATGATGACTAGTTGAACTCTAAATATTTGGATACTTACATGGTGGCAGGGGAGTTAATTATGATAATCGTTATGTTCTTCAAGATGATGTTGTTTGGATGTTCTTCAAAATGCTCATAATGATGGTTTCTTTTTTGTTGTTGGCAAGAAAAAAGAAAAATAAAAACAAAATAAAGGATCAAAATTTCAAGTATTCGATTGGTAAATTTTTGATATCCAAAATTGTTCCTATTCCTTCTTCTAATTCTTAGTGTTCTGCTTTTCTGCTTGTGTTTGGTCTTTGGGGGCTCGTGTAGTTTTTTTTTTCTTTTTTTTCTCTTGGTTTGTTGTGTGTTTTTCTTTGGTTTTTGGTGTTTGGGGGTGTTTGTGGCAAGGTGTTTTAGTGTAAGGGGTTGCCGGTTGTATAATTTTGCATTGTTGTGGGTATCTCTTTGGCTAACATATTGTATAATCTTTTAGTGATAAAATAGCAAAGCCCCTAAACAAAACCAACACAAGACAACCGAACCCTCACTATAGCAACACCCAACCACCCAAAGCAGCAGAGCCAGAATGACCAACTCGACCAAACATAAGCCAGGAGAACAACCAACATAGACAACAAACAACAACTAGAAACAAATTGATGAATACATGCATTCACAAATTGATTTTTAATAAATTCATTATAAAGTGATGGCAAACATCAATTAATATATTTTATTCATGCATGTTGAATATAGTTATATATATTGTATTACTATTATGATGCAAGATGAGTGTGTTATCTGAAATGATTTGGATTATCTTGAAAACAAGACCATACAAAAAATACTAGACATTTATATGGATGACTGGCAATAAGGAATAGCAAGGAACTCTATATATGCAGATTTTTCATAATAATAATTTTTAGCATGTAAATCTCTTTGTACTTGACTTGATAGTTAATGAATTGAACTGAACAAAAAAAAAATTATAGGTAAAATCTGTTTTTTCTTTTAATTATAATTAGGGCAATTATATATAATTTAAGGTAATTTTTTGTCTAAGAAATTATTGTGTAAAATTATCTTGCTTATTTTTTTTATTTTTTATTCAAGAAAATTTTGAAGGATTATCCTGATATAAAATCTCATATGTATTGTTCTCTTGTGGCTAAGAGGATTCTTCTTCGGTGTGAAGAGGATAAGTTATAAGAGGACTGAACCAACAACAAAGTTCTGATCTTTATTTTATCGCTAAGAGGATACCATTTGGACAAATTTTAAATTGGGAGTTTATTTATGTGGTTAAGACCTAACCGAATAATAAAATCTAGATATCAATAATTATACTAAAAATAATTATAGGATAAAGAGAAAGAGTAGTCGATATTAATAATTACGCTTAAAAATAAACTTATCGGCTTTCATAAAAATATTTTCTTACATATGTAATAGGTTTGTTAAAAGGAATAATCTAATAAAAAATAATGTTGTTGAATATAAATTAAATATGATTGTTGGATAAACGAAAATAAAATATTGAAATGGCATTAAAGGTACGTAGAAGAGAATAAGCTAATACTAAGGTTTTATTTGGGATAAATTTTTGTTATTGTTTTATCACTATTTTGAAAAAAATATATTTATACTAAAAAATTATTTTAGAAATCTGTTAGCGATTTGAAAGTAACCCATGCAACGAAAAAAAAAATTCAATGAAATGTAAAGAACACCAGGATTTAAGGAGGAAAAATCTGAAATCAAGAAAAAATCACGGAATAACACCACATCAAAAAAATCACTATGAAAATAGCTAGAAATTACTACATATCTCCTTTTTCTCTTAGTGTCTCATTGTTTATCTTCTCTCTTACACCGTTCTGATTGGTATATAGAGCTCTATATATCACGCTACCCTTGAGAAAAACGGGGAAGAAAACGGTCCAACTCGCCTCAAATTGTTGCGGCACTGTAATCTCTATCATTTGGTCTATGGCGTTCTGCTCTCTACTAATTTTACACAAAATTGTCCAGTGAACAAAATAGTGTCAAGGTGCTCAGGCACACAGCGTCGGGGCCTTGTACGGAAAAAAAATTTATTGGTCGACACAATTTGATTCTACATTGACTAACCAAATAAGTAACAAAATTGTCTCAAACGAAGCCCAAGAAGAGCTTACATCCCAAATTACGTTTTATTCATGATAAATCATTAAAAAATTATTGTAAATGACATCCATGAAAATGTAGAATAAATAAAGGAATAATTCAAAAATACCTCTGAAGCCCCATTAATACAAATTGAGTAGTAGACATTTTTAATTCAAGTATGAATTAAACCTAAGAAAATCCACTCTTATATTTAACAATATGGAACTTCCTTTTATGTGCTACATCAGTAAATACCAACCAAAAATGGTAACTAATTTCTACGATACGAAAGGCTAATCAATTTACCAATCTTAATAAATGTATGCATCAGGTTGAACCAAAATTTCCTTATGTCATTAAAAACTATGGATATTAATTACTAAGACCAATTTGTCAAACATACTAAGTTTATATATCATTTTCCAAATGAATTTATCATAGATATCAATACTATTCGAAATAGGTTTTTTGATACTCTCTCTAGCCGATGTTAGAGCTCCGTCAAAATATTCTAATTTATGATATATGATAAAAACATTAAAAATAAGACGAATATGTTATGAAGTCATCAATGATCGAAGAAATGCCAAATGTCATTGATATAGTCCCTAGCTCTCAAGCAAAAAAAATATCAAACAAAGTACAATGATGCAACAGTGGTGGTCTGACTTTGAATTTGTAGCAAGTAAATTGAAAAATTAAAAAATAATTAAGTAGCATTTTTCATCTTTTCTCATTTTCTCCCTATCCTTAATTATTTAATTATAAGAAGCTTTCCCATTCCAACATTGTAAAGACAAGTTCTTCAAAATGGCTAGCAAGAAGTCAAATGAAGCAATCTTCCCACAGGGTCTTCAAGCGAGATCAACTTCTTGTTGGCTTCGTTTGAGACAAATTTTTTACTATTTCCTCTTAAAGCAGTAAGAAAGCCATCTCAAATGAAGGCTCTATCTATATATGTGATTTATGAGATTTGCCATTGTTGCGGATGTGAAGAAACGATCTTATAGAGTTGTTTGTATCCTAGGCCTTTCTTTATAGGTTTTGAGTTTCTATGATGTAATTTTAATTTAAATTTTATATTACTTTTTTATATTAAATTTATATTTTAACATCCAGATTATTAAAACATATATAAGTGACTAAATTTTACTCAAAAAAAAAAACGTTGTAGCTTTATATGACTCAAATGAAGTAATGCATCTGCCCGTTAAAAATTGTTTATTAGTCGTGTGGTGTTCCCATATATGCTGTAAATCCAGGTGCGTTGAGCATTACTCCTCGCCACCAGAAAGTGCAGCGCAAGGCGTGGCTAATAAACAAAGAGGTAACTTTCTCCTAATTGAAATTCCATAAGCTTCACTCATGTCAAGCTCTTCTCCATTCTTAGCCGGACACTCCCAATCAAAATAATATAATAAATAAGCAAGAGCCATCTCCACTGTTGCCAATGCGAAATGCATCCCTGGGCAAATTCTCCTCCCAGCACCGAAGGGTATCATCTCAAAGTGAGCTCCCTTCATATCAATATGATTCTCCTCAAACCTCTCTGGCCGAAAGACCTGAGGTTCGTCCCAATACTTAGGATCCCTCGCTATCGCCCACGCATTCACAATCACCGTCGTCCCTACTGGAATGTCATAGCCCATCACCTTGCACCTCTCTTTGTTCTCCCTTGGTAGCAACAAGGGCACCGGAGTGTGTAGTCGCAATGTCTCTTTTATCACCAGTTGCAAGTAGCTAAGCTTGTTGCTCATCCACTCCTCGTCTCCTATGATCTTCGTCATGTCATATCCGAACACTTCTCTGACCTCTCTCTGCGCCTTCTTCATAATCTTCGGGTTAAGAACAAGCTCTGAAATTGCCCATTCCAAGGTAGTTGCCGTTGTCTCGCTTCCAGCCATAAGAATATCCTAATAAAACAGTAATTTTTATTAGCTAAACATCAAATAAGTAATAATTAAATTAATTATTGTGAGCTCACGTTAATGACAGCCTTGATGTTGTCGTTTAATAGCGGGAATTGGAGGCTGTCATCCTGTTGGATTCTGAGAAGAACGTCTGTGAGATCCTCCGCTGCCATGGAGTTTTTAGCCCTCCTCTCAATGTGCGCTTTCACTATTTTTTCCAGAATTCGATCCAAATTCAACCAGCATCGCTCCAGCTTCTGTCGAAGACCAAAGATGCGAGTAATGAAGTTGGGCATCGAGGGAAACAAATCGATCATGGAGAAACCCGAAACCAACTCTACAGTTTCTCTGAGAGCCGACTGGAACAACTTCTGGTCTTCGCATCGACCGCCAACAACTGAGATTGCCATGATGTTGTTGCTAAGATTGGCAAACTCGCTGCTCAGGTTGATGGCAACGCCGATAGAAGCCGCTGCATTAATGGATCGCATGAGATGGGAGACCTCCTGCGATATTATGGCACGAAAGGAGCGGACACGCTTCGAGCTGAGAAGCTCCATGGTGCAGATTCGACGCATCTGGCGCCAAAACTCGCCATATGAAGCGAAGATGAGGCCTTTGCCATTGTAGAAGAGGGCATCGACGGTGGGGGTGATGGGGCGTGAGGCGAAGTTGATGTCGTGGGTCTGCATGATTTCTTTGGCTCCATCGGCAGAGGAAATGATGACGGTGTGGATCTCGCCTAGTTTTAGGCGCATGATGGGGCCGTAGATGAGGGAGAGGTCGCATAGTGCACGATGGGGAAGGCGGCGGCCGAGGAGATGGTGAATGCTGCCGATGATGGGGAGGTTTTTTGGGCCTGGGGCTTGCGCGTTGGATTGGAGTCGGTGGCGATTGAGCGTTTTGGTGATAGCTTTGATGACGAGGAATGTTAAGAATATGAAGATGGAAGCGAGGAAAAGCTCCATGCTTGCAGACAATAACGGGAACTATTGATTGGAGATCTTGAGCTTCATGAAACTTGCATTTATAGATTTATTTCTGGTAACTTCAAATTTATTACGGGAAAAATAGAATTTTTTTAATTGGCTACAAATTTATTATGGATGAAAAAAACTATGATCATAATTTTCTTAAGGTTATTATAGTTATTAAATTTGGGTATAAAAAAAGTTATTTCTCATCCTTAAAAAAAATAAAAAATTCCAGCCCGCCACCGTTTACCGCTATCATTGACTTCAAGCCAAATAAAAATAATAATTACAAATAATTATTTTACACCCTTTCAAATAACTTCAAAAAAAAATTCTTTTTGAAAAAATCAAACATTTTCTTTTTTCTTAAGAAAATGTTTCACCTTCACTTGTAAATTTTATGATGATGTTTAATCAATAAATACTTCAATTTGAAATTTTCTTATATAGAATGATAATTGTCCAAAATATGAGAGAAAAACATTCTATTGATTCTCCTCCCAAACAGTATCTTCTTAGCTACAAGAGAACAGATGTGAGATTTGAATTTGTTGATGCTCTCCTCCAAAATGGCATCTTTTTAGGTGCAAGAGAACACAAGAGATCTGAACTTTGTTGATGCTCCTCCTAAAAGTAACCCTTTTAGCCACAAGAGAACTAAAAAAACCAAGGCTTTTAAAACCGGATCGGTCAATGAACCGGAAGAAGGAGGGGTTAGTGGTTTGATGGTTCGACCGGGGTCGAACCGGGGTCGAACCGGATGACGCAATAAATATTTATTATATTTAAAAACTATAATAATGACACAACTATTTATTAATATATAGTAAAAATTGAACAAAGTTATAATATGAAGGGTAACAAAATAAACAACTAATTGATATTTTTCATGAGTAGCTTCAGATCAACAAAAACAGGGATCTTAAGGAAATGATAGGCAACTCTTCAAAAATGAATTTTGCTATACAGTAAGTCAAATAAAATAATCTTCTAATCTTTACTTGAAATTTTTTGCAATAAGGTGGAATATTATATGAAAGAAAAAAAACCGAACTCTGTTCAGAAAAATAACCTGGTGCTGTCGTGCATATAGCTGCTAAAAAATTCAATTTTTTGATGAGTTGATCTGTACAAAGAAATGCAAAATTGCAAAAGTATTAATCACCAATGAAAAATTTATTAATTTTACATATAACCGAACTCTCCAGTCTCCAATAAATTGATAAAATAAAAAGTTAAAAACTACCTAATGTCAACTTTGGCGGAGGAAAAAGAGAAGCCGGACAAGCCGGAGGCGGCAGGAAAAGGAGAAGCCGGGCTTGAAAAAGAGAAGCCGGAGGTGGAAAATGAAGCCGGAGGTGGAGAAGAAGACTCCAAATTGCCGAAGAACAAGGAACAGCCGCAGCTGCGCAGCGATATGAATGCGAATAGGGTTTTTTTGTGTTTTCGCCGCTTCGTATAATCTCCGCAATCCGCACTCCGTATTGCATCTCAGCCGTTCATTTTTTTTGGCAGCGAACCGTCCGGTTAAAATAAACCGGAACCGGTTCGACGGTTCGGCGGTCGAACCGCCGGTTCGAGCGGTTCGAAGCCGGTTTTCTTCAAAGCCGGTTATATTTTGACCCTTAACCGGCCGGCCGACCGGTTCCCGGTTAACCCGGTTGAACCGGCCGGTATGGTCCGGTTTTAAAAGCCTTGAAAAAAACTAGATGATAGCAGCAAAATTTAACTTAACTAAAAAATATATGCACATATTACCTATGAAGCTAAATTTTGAGAAGGATAATCTATTATTAATGACACTTTCCATGGATCATAAGCTATTAATTAGGAGGGTAAACTAATCAAGGTTATACTAAGTGGTGTTTTGTTCAAGTGCAAATAAGTTTAGGATTTATTTGGAACAGCTTTCTTATTGCTTTCTAAGGTAATTTTCTAGCACAAACAATTAAAATTTTAGAAACTTTTGTACTAAAAAACTGCTTTAGAAAATATTAAGAAAATTGTCCCAAATTAAGTCATCAGTTCGTCAACGTCTGATATATTGATGATTCAACATATCTTTTAGAATTTGTAATTTTGAAGGATAATAATCTTTATCAAATTTGTTGTTATTTGTTAAAGTCTTATCTATCTTCTTCTTCTTCAAGGGTTGTGGATCATCATTGTTTATTGATCATTTAAAGAAAACTTTCAAAGTTAGGCAGCTACTTGAACTTTTTCTGACTTGTTTAACATAACTGCATGAGACCTCCCCGCTTTAATAGATAAATCAACTTTGAATAAATAATCTTCTTCTATATATTTGCCCAAATAGAATACATCGTAGAGAAGATTTCAACATCAAGGATATTAAGCATCCTCAATGTCTTCTAATTTAATATGAAGGGGGTCGAGTAACTCTTTTAATTTTCCCTATTCTAAAGATTAAAGTCATTTTTTATTAAAAAAATAATAATCCATTGGCCCAATTTTTTGATGGAACTCAAGTATGAATGTCTAATCATTTAGATCTGAAAGTAATGCGACATTGTGTGTCACATGTAAATTGATCCATTCGAGAAAAGCATTTTGATGTCAAAATTGCTCCATAATCTTGGAAGGAAACAATCAATCCCACCACGATTAGCATAGCTCTGTATAAAAATTGAGATAAACTCACTCCATATATTGGCAAAATGTCAATTAACTTAGGAGGAGGTGAAAATCATAAGCCCGCTTGTAATTTTTTTTCATAAACAATCAAATATCCTAAGAGAGAAAAGCTAGCCCGATCAGATTTTTCAAGAACCCTTATCATGAGATCATTGAGAAAATGAAATTTCTTGCATAAATTGATCATAGAATCACTAACAATTGTGGAGACCACATCATCGGCCTTTGCTACCATATAGGATCTCTTTGGGCCATCATTTTGTGCAGCGTGTCATCGATCTTCTTTGGTCATGAGTACTTTGAGGGAGGAGTGATCACCCATTAGAATTTATGCAAAAAGAGGGGCACTGAAATTTGATAAAGGATGTCATATATCAAAATCAGTGGAGTTCCTCTAATGTGAAAGAATATTGGGTAGAGAGATAGAAGATAATAAAATTTTATTCACAAAGAGGGGCACTGGAATATGATAGGGAATGCCACTTATTCAAGATAATGGAATGGCTGTATTATAAGAAAAATTGAGAAAGAAATGAAGAAAATAAAAGGTGTGCTCTTCCCCTACTCCCATGGGTGGTATTTATAGCTGAAAAGGGGGGAAGAGACTTCTAGAATTTTTCAAAGATCATTGCGTTGCAGGTGCACTAATGGATCGGAGGATCTGGATAGAGTAGTTGT